AGCAACCTCCAGCTCTTGGGCTTAGGCGATTCTCTTGCCTCAGCCTCCTGAGTAGCTGGGACTACAGGTGCCTGCCACAATGCTCGGCTATTTTTTTGTTGCAGTTTGGCCAGGGCTGGGTTTGAACCTGCCACCTCGGTATACAGGGCTGGCACCCTACTCACTGAGCCACAGATGCTGACCAACCTCAAACTCTTGAGCTCAAGCAATCTTCTTGCACTAGCCTTCCCAGTAGCCGGAACTACAGGCAACTGCCACAGCGTCCAACTATTTTCAGAGGCTGGGTCTTGCTCTTGCTCAGGGTGGTCTCCAACTCCTGAGCTTAAGCAAGCCACAAGCCTTGGCCTCCCAGAGTGCTAGGATTACAGGCATGAGCCACGGCGCCCAGCCTACATAAAATTATTGATTATTCCTTTTCAACTGTTTCTCAGAACTAGTAATTCCAGATGACAGTTGTAGAAATGAAATACACCATGGTGTGTGTGAATATACCACAATCTTATTAATTTTTGAGTTGTTATGGCAATGGCAATAAAGTCAATCTGAAGTAAAGTATGATTATAGCTCAGCATAATGCAAAAATGGCTCAGGAGAAATACCCTCATATTTTAGATTCATTCTCCATAAGAGAATTAATTATTAAAATGTTCTGAGTCACTAATCAGTTTAAAAAGACAAAACTACCAAATAAACCATCAAAAACCCCACGACTAAAACAATTTAAACTGTCACTAACCCTAGCTTTATTTATACCCAAACCACTACACTTCCACAAGTTCTCCTCCACCTTACTTTTTCTCTGTGTTTAAGAGGTGAAGACAAAACTATCTGGCAACAAAGAAACCGACAAGCCTCCCAAATTCTTTACAGAAGTCTTTGAGGCCCCAAGCTGGGGCTTACCTGTTCCAATCAATCGTTCAGTACCTGAAAATTTCACTTAATTTACCAGAACACTTGTCCACCCCCCCGCCCTTCACACACAGTGGTTTACTCACAATATCCAGCCACTGGTGCACGGCCACGGCGACCTGTGTCCCCAGGGGTTTCGTCAGCACCAGCACGTCCCCGGGCACTGCATTATCTGGCCTGAAGGAAAGAAAAGGGCAGCTCTAGTCAAAGTAACCAAGGAGGGAAACCCACCACTCTTAACTACATTTCAAACACAATTTTCCTGCTCCTGTTTTGTTTTTGTACTTAAATTTAGGCCAAGTATCAGCATGTGATGGTGCCTTGCAACTTGATACTAAGACTACTGCTGGAATAAAATGTTACACGCATAAGCCAATTTACCTACTAGATTAAAAGAAGTGTACGAAGAAGCCAAACACGCAGCCCTCAAAGGTCTCAGTGGCGGCATTCCCCTTAGGCAGCTCTGAGCTTGTGTAACTTCTGACACGGACCCAACAGAGTTCCAAAGTGACTGAGGCAACCAGACCTCTGTGACAAAGACTGCTGTGTTTACAATCGTTTATCTGGTAGACTCAGGTGTGATTGGGGGGCTATAGGATGTGGCTGGAATTCCTGGGTCTGATGTCTTGGTAATTCAGAACTCAGGTTGTCAAACTCACACTGACATTTGTGCATTTCCTACTTGGCACTCAGACCCCCCTGTGTGACAGAGGGCAATACTACAAAGGCAACCCTAAAAAGATGACTGATATCCCAAAGAAAACATCCGTCACATTTGTGTGCTCACTGCCGGGTCACAGATCTGCCAGTTCTGCCCTTCCCAGCCCAAGGAGCTTCCACATGGCTGCTCAGGCTGACCTGGGACTCCTCCACTACTGGCCAAAGTCAAAGGCCAGGGCAGGCTTCACACTGACACCTTGCTCCCCAGCTCAACCTGGACTATTTGTACCCACCCTCAGCTTTGAAAAATAGTTTTGAAAAATACTTTTTTGTGAAGTGACACAAGAAACCTAGTTTCCAACAACTAGACCTGAGCATATGAATGCCTTTTACTCCAGACTTCTCTGGTTATGTGTAACCTATGAATTCATATCAATTCAGTGTGATAAAACTATTTGGTTATTTTTAAGTTTGTGAGTAACATTAGACTAACTGTAATTATGCGCACAGGCTCATTATCTTTTACAAAGTAAACACATATGCCATTGGCAAAAATTCTTTTTTGGGGGGGGGGGCGGTGCCTATGGCACAAGGAGTGGGGCGCCGGCCCCATATACGGGAGATAGTGGGTTCAAACTCAGCCCTGGCAAAAAACTGCTCTTTTTTTGAGTCAAGAGTCTTACTGTTGCCCTGGTGTCACAGCTCACAGCAACCTCAAACTCTTGGGCTTAAATGATCATCATACCTCAGCCTCCCAAGTAACTGGGACTACAGGTGCCTGCCACAACACTCAGCTAATTTTCTCTGTTTTAGTAGAGACAGGGTCTTGCTCTTGCTCAGGTTAGCAAAAAGTTCTTAAAACTAGTTTAGTTGGCTCGGCGCCTGTGGCTCAAGCAGCTAAGGCGCCAGCCACATACACCTAAGGTGGCG